GTCGTGTGTGTGTGTGTGTGTGTGTGTGTGTGTGTGTGTGTGTGTGTGTGTGTGTGTGTGTGTGTGTGTGTGGACGGTCGCACCATGTCACCAGGAGCCTAATCGTGTATGTGTTTGTGTGTGTGATTGGTATCTCTTTGTTTTTTTTGCCGATAGCGGAGCATCACAGGCGACAAACACATTGGCTGGGGAGAGATTGATGTCTACAGCATCGACGAGGTGTGTACGTATGTGTGTGCGTGCATGTCGCGATGGTCGTGTGTATGCACGTGTTCGTTTTGTCATCCTCTGTTGTCGTATTGTTGGGCCCAGATGCCTCACACACACACACACACACACACACACACACATACATACACACACACACACACACACACACGCATTCTCTGCACATCACCAGACGCGTCCGGAAGAGAAGCTGTATCACTTGAGTGGCAAACAAGGAGAGGACAAGGAAGGCGTGGTTAGCCTGCACATCCGATACGAGGTGTGTGCACAGCGGTACACTCGTGACGTCGATACACTTGTACACGCGCACGCATGCATCAATGACCACCAATGCATTCACGCATCATGCGCCATCAACATCAATGCCGTTCCTCGTTCACACCCACACACCCCTCTCACCTCCATGCACCCCCACTCTACTTGACTTGACTTGACTTGACTTGACTTGACTTGACTCTACTTGACTTGACTTGACTTGACTTGACTTGACTTGACTTGACTTGACTTGACTCTACTTGACTTGACTTGACTTGACTTGACTGAACTGATCTGGGCAGCCGACTCTTGGGCCGCCTGTTGTGCGCCCGCCGCGTGTTGTCACCACCACGTATGGCGCTGACCCCATGATGGGCCACTACGCACCACAGCCGCCGCTGCCACACGTCAACCACGCACCTGTCAGTCCATCTTCTGTGTGTGTGTGTGTCTGTCTGTATGTATGTATGTATGTATGTATGTATGTATGTATGTATGTATGTATGTATGTATGTATGTATGTATGTATGTATGTATGTATGTGTGCATCGTATGTATGTATGTATGTATGTATGTATGTATGTATGTATGTATGTATG